TAACATTTTGCAGTTCACTTTTGTTGGAGTCCAGCGCCACTACGCGGCGCGCGTGGGCTAGGCATGGAGTCCTACTTGTCACGACCTTTAGCGCATACTTCCTTTTGGAATGTGCGTTCGCTTCATGTGCCACGTACCAGTTCGTGTGATGGTGGCTTGGGGGGTCGCCAAATATGATCTATCCCATTGCAGCTCGCGTTTAGGGTCCCCCGGCACAAATCTGGCTCATTCCCCCTTCCCCTCGTGGGTATTGGTCGCTTGGCAACCACGTTGTACAAGTCACCGATCGCTTCGTGAACCGACAACCAGTTTACGTTATTACTTTAATGTTTGCGTCTGTTATTTTTTTGTTGGTACCCATGACGGTGGTCGAGTAAATGCTTTTGTGGATTCGAGATCTCTCACCCCTCCCAAAGGGGATGATGGCACCGCGCCTACGGCATGCACGGCTGGATGTGAGTTGAGGAACCCCGTCCTTTCTTGCAAGTAGGCAAGCTGCACTTGAGCCCCTTACAATCAAAATGAATGCCGGCACCGCTGGTGTCAAGGCTTGACATCCTGTATCGCGTGTCCCTTTATTTTTGGTTGGCGCCCGCGCAGGAATAAAAGGCTGGGCTATTTGCTGCCCGTCCGGCTACTGCTTCGTCCAAAGCATCGACGGCGGGTTCAGCGGCGACATCAAGCTAAGACCGCACGCGACTTGCCCCCTTGGGCGGTCGGCACGCACGGTCCTTTACGTACTACTCGAGGCGTGCCCGACCTTCTCCGACAAGATCGTCGGCTCCGGTATTACCGTGGCGATGGACAACTTCTTCACGGGAGCCTCCCTTGTGCGATGCCTCGCTACGCGCGACATTTTCGCCGTAGGGACTCTACGCGGCAACCGCACCGGAGTGGACCTCGCCAAACATCTCTGGGACAAGGAGGGCCTCAAGGCGACAGAGCGTGGTGACATGCTGACGGCCCGCTCCGACGAGCTCGTCATCGTCAAGTGGATCGACTCCCAGGAGGTCTACCTGATGTCGACGAAGCATGTTTTTGAGGACGAGTGGGCACCTCTCGCCTACGAGTGAGTACAAACATAAAACCATTCCGCGGAACCTGTTTTGAGGAACCACGGTTCCGCGCTCACTCTTGGTGTGCCGTGTGTAGTTAATTGTCAGGATATTTTTTTAACAAGTTGGAGGTATGTTGCGCGGCTTGAAATGTGTATGGGGAAAGATAATTCGGCCTAGGACAGGGCAGCTGTAACGGTAGAGAGGAACGCCTTCGATCGGGACCTTGACGTTTTTCGCCGCCTGCAGCAAGGGTTACTTCACGTGCATCACGCACTCGTGTCATGTTTGAACGGTCATCCGCGCACGTCCGCCGATCTACTTTTTTCGCAAACATACACAGGAGGCGAGCTGCGAACAACAACGGCGAGAAGGTGTCGAGCCAGCAACCTCTTGCTCGCAAGGAGTATGTCAAGAACATGGGTGGCGTGGACGTCGCAGACCAGCGGCTAAGCGCCCACGCCCACACGCACAGGCCTATGACGTTCTTCTAGAGGCGAGTCTTCGATCAAAAGTTCGCTCAAGCCGTCAGAAACGCGTGGCTCCTGTTCTTCGAGTGGGCCGGGGTGCTAGCCACGCAGTGTACCGCGGCATTGGAGGCGGCGACACGAGACGAGGGGGGTGGGTGATGCCGGGGAAGCCGGGGAAGCCGGAGAGGGAGGGGCGGCGGCGGGCACTTGCGACCTCACGATGGCAGAGCTCCAAGAATTTCAATGCCTAGTCGAGAAGGCTATGAAGATGGAGCGTATTGACTGGGACCGTAGGCTCGCGAATCACCTCATGTCCTTGTGTAACGTGGGTGACGGTGGGAAGGGGGCAAGGCGCACGACGGCAGTGGAGTCGTGCCGCGTGAAGGGCGCACGCGGTCAGCGTGTATGCCATGGGGGGGCTTGCACAAAGACGGCCGGTCCGTACACTGGGACTAGAACTTGTGGGGTTGTTTTGTTGTTTTGTTTCTCTCCCATCATTGGACTCTGCCGTCTGCCCCTCTGGCCCCTATCCTCCACTTCTACTGGCTAGACGACCCAACCGGGGTCACATAGGAGGGGGGGGTTGGGACCCCCTCCTGCGGTTCATGCCTGAGGTATTTTTATCGCGAGAAGGGTACAGCAATCCCTTCCCTCGCGACTTACGAAGTCGATTATGGTTTACTAACAAACGGGCTTTGCAGCTCGTCGTTTTCATCCTAGACCAGGATTTATTTAGTGAGAAAATAACTCTCTCTGCCGGGACTCGAACCCATGACCTGGCCCTTAGCAGGCTGCGAGGCTACCCACTAGACCACCGGGGCGACCGGGGTATGCTGGTGTGATACTTGCACGGGTGGGACGGGGAAGGACCGGGCGTTGATGCTGTGCAATACGTGCAGTAAAGTACCAGAAGCACATGTTGCCGCTAAAAAGTGGGCCGCCGAGAGAACGTACAAGCCAATCAATTGGTTTGGATCGCCGCCCGAGTAATTCATTGTGATTGTGTGTGTCCCAGGCAAGTGCTTTGAAGTGCCAGAAAATGCGTCGTCGCCACCGTCAGAAGACTATCGGGGGGGGTCCATACAAGTTAGTCGACAAGCAGCCCTGTTGCAACGATCTTCTGTCTGTAGCTTGACTAGCTGATAGTTGAATCGGAGTCATTGTCGTTGTCGTTGTTTGCATGCTACGGTGTCAAGATGCCGCCCGGTGCGGCGGTTGGTATGCACTCGAAACACGCAGAGAATAGCAGGAGGCAGGAGGGCTTCCCACGGCTTCATGGGTACCTCGTACAACCCCCTGCTCTTTTTTCGCTACTCGGGTGCCAGGGTTAGGGTTAGTCTGGCATGCGTTAGCAATGTCAGCGTTCCGGGTTGGAATGGAAGCGTAGGTTCATGTTTCAACAGGCGGGCCACGGCCCCGCGCCAATGGAAGAAGTCTTGCGCATGCAAAAAATGCGGAAAGGTGTTACGACTCATGCCTATCGTAAATTGAACAACACGCATACACTCATGCTTTTATGGGTACCACGGACACCTGTTTGTCACGTGCCGTTCACTATCATGGTGGCAAGAGCGAAGAGGCACGTGTCGTGTAATGCCTGTTGAAATGTTGTTTGGGCACAATCGACACATGTTGTCGCGAGCGCTTGCCTCATGGCCGTGCTTGTCGCATGGAAGCGTTGTTGCTTTTCGCCAGGAAATTTGTCGTTGCTGTCGTTCATATTCTTGTTCTTCACATGAACAAACAGCGGCAGCCTCTGGTCAGCGCCATCTAATATCCGTACCCGTGTGACGCGCACGTCTACCATGGTCACAGGCCAAGTACCCCACAAGGGTGCACACTTAGAGAAAGTTTATACGCCAGGCATCGCTGGTGTCAATTGCCGGGCAAAACAACAAACAAAAGAGTCCAACGCTCTCGCAGGCGAGCGCTCTCTAACAAATCAACAAAAAAAGCCAAATAATGAACCAAGACTACGACGTCGTCCGACAATCTTGGGCC